TTAACAAAAAGACCGTCCCGAAGAGTTGCAGGAGATTCTGAAGTTGTCTGAAGCCAATGGCAATTTTATTTTTATTTCAAAAGGAATTAAACCATTTTGATAATTTAATAGAAATCATTTATTTATTAAGATGTTATGACGTTTGCATTGTATCGAAACGGCCCGGGTTCGATTCTCGGTGACGAAGAAGAAACAAACTAGACTCGATATAGCGAGTCACCGAGTGGTACAGTTGGTATGAAGTTTGCGTTGTATCGAAACGGTCCGTGTTCGATTCTCGGTTGTGTATGTGCACTGATGATGAGTCCCAAAATAGGACGAAACGGTCGTATAGTGCTTTCTGCATTCGGTTGAAGATTATTCTGAGCTCGGTGAATTACTATAGATGATGATTTTCTAAATCCCCCAAATTTTTTTCAATATATATATTAGTAGCATCCTAAATTTTCTGGAACCTGTTTATGCTATCAAAAAGAATTAAACCATTTTGATAATTTAATATAAAAAAAATTATTTATTAAGATATTCCCAGATTGAAATCCTGTCCTCATCATATTTCTTTTCAGAAGTATGGTGCTTTTTTTTGTAAAAAAGACTAAAAACAATGGAAACACTTATAATAAAAAAGAAAAATCCGACACTCAATAACATCAACTATAAACATGGCCACAATGTTCTGATCGTGTTTGGAAAAAAAAAAACAAAAAAAAAAACAAAACAATAAAGGACTTTCTGATAACTCTAAATACATATATAAAAAATCCATATATTCAGTTAAAAAAAAAATAATAACTAATAATAACTAAAGGAATAGCCTAAAGCTCTTGGATATACAGAATATTTGGAGAGTTTTTACCCACTTTACGTCGAGAAAGGAAAACACTTATAAGAAAAAATTAAATAAAAAACTCAATCGCAATACCTTGTTAGTCGTCTTTAATGAAACCTTTTTTAAGAAAGATGGATTGCTGTCCAAATACATTATATATATATATATATATATATATATATATATATATATATATATATATATATATATATATATATATATATATATATATATGCATATATACATTTAAGTTTCAGCAACACGTATGTATGCGTATACCACTCACATCTACCTTTATTCATGAGTACGTGCATGAATTCACGAAAATATCAAAATCTTGATAACTTTGTGTATCTCCTTGAAGACCTTCCAGAAATAGAGTTCTGTCTTCGTAACACTAAGTCTTCATGTAAATATTTCTCGCGATGAATAAGTTTTTACTGATTCAGAACACAGCAAGAGACTGACCCTCACTTGTTAGTCGGTAGAGAAAGAAAAAATATGTAGGCGGAAAATCCATTTGTAATCACTCGAAACTGCATTCCTACTGTCGTATAACAACGAGAGGTAATGAACATTTTGGCTCAACCAAGAAAGCATTAAAAAAAGAAAACATACAAAAATCAAACCTGATGAATCTGACAATAGACATTCAGTGAGCCAGATATAGATAATACCCTAACCTAATGCTACGCGACATGCGCCACATTTTAACATTCTCCTTTTTACCTTCACTCGTATCGAGAGAATTATATTAAGATACTGATCTTGAAAAACATTGCGTATGTGTTTAATTTTATTTGATTACTTCAAATTATTTTATTTTAAGCAAATTTCTTTTTTATTATTTAACTCCAAGCAATGCAATAAAGCCACAAAGACGCAAGGATTTACTGAGTTTCAAAAAATGCGAGAAAAAGAAAAGCGTTATTAAGGAAAGAGAACAATAAAAGAACATAAAGAAAACAGACGATAACGATTGAAATTACATTTAAATTCTTGAAGATCAAATTTGACTGGAAAGCAAAAAGCTGAGAAATCCACTCAGCGAGAAGTGCGAGAAAAGAAACTAATAGCATTAAACCTCCGATACATCTTGAAATTTAAATTCTAAAACGATAGGACAAAACTGCCAATCTAGTACTGCGCTTAAATTCGTAAAGTCTCGGCACCAGAGAAGAAAGCTCATCAGAGCAATTACACTGGAAATATTTATATAAAAAGCACACGGCGCTCGGAATCTGATTGAAGCCGAGATGCCAGTTCAGGATTTTGGGTTTTATCAAGAATCTCTAAATACATAGCAGGGGTACCAGAGTAGATGTCGGAACAATATTTAATGCATGCACGAATGGTAAACTTATAAAAGTGTAAGACAGATTCTGGAGAGAAAAACTGTCTGGCACGACACAATGCTATTAGCTCTTGATTCAGCTATTAGAATACAAATTGGAGATACTGAAATCAAAAAGATGCAACAGATTAGCTATCTAGGGAGAGTATTAACAGGGGACGGAAAGTGCGACACCTATGTTCGAAGGTGTGTATTGGGATAGCGGAAGATGCTTTCCAAATTCTGAAGTGACACGACACATAGAAGTAGTAAATATCTACATAGTGATGCTGTCATAGAGATGCGGTTCGACTTCTCGTATTGGCAGCTAGGTTTCATCATTATAATGTTGAAATTGCTAAGTGTAATCGCGTGACATAGCCCTATCAAGCTAGGAGGTCTTGGTCATTGGCACCAATTTACTCATATGTTGTATCTTCTCTCACTCGTCTTCTCCCGGTCTGTGATCGTTAGGAGTTTTTGTTCCAGTGAAAAAAAAAAAAACAACAAAAAACAAAAAACTTCAACACAGGCAATTTTAACTTAGCTATTTAATTAACGTCCGCATATACATCTTCTGTCCAGTTGGGTCGTTCTCTTCCCACTGGGGAACCGTTTCAGACACGAAAGCGAACACGTCTACATTGCTCGACAGTTCAGAAACAACTCACTGAAAACGTTTTTCATTCCCACGCTGGTTCAACCAATCAAAATCGACTTCCTTTTTCTGAACTCCATCTGACCTCGAAGGTCAACCTCAGGAAGTCCGAGCAAAGATACCATTTCCCCTAAAAGTAATAGTCTGCTAAACTATTATTTAACAACCGTAAGTTCTATTCTAATGGTTTCTTCTCTCGTCTGTTGAACTCTCTTGCGTTCATCATCTTACTTTCCGGTCAACTGCGATCTTCAAAAATTTAAATATAACGTGAGTCATCATTTTCTATCTCTTTGACTCCTGTTCTTGTTATTGTCATTTCTCCTTAATAACATTTTCTCAGTTTCCTTCATTCTCAGTAACCCTTTGCGTCATAGTGTTATCGCTTTGTTTGGAACGAAAAGATAAAATATAGATACCCAACAATATTGCTAAAAATTAGTAGACAGCGATGAAGACATGCTTCAAACGTAATTATTTATCATCAAAATATTTGTTATTATTAAGAGGGATGATTAAAGTATTTTTTAAATATTTAATGAATTTTTTACTTCTTTTTAGAACATTCGAAATTTTGATTAAAAAACTTGTTTTTCTTGCGTCAGTGGTTGTAGTAACTTTTAGCATAGCAAATTTTAGCCTTTTTGTGGCGACAGACACATTAATTTGGAAATTCTTGCAAAAATCAAATAATTGTCGGATTTAAATGAAATTTTCAGGACTTATTCACAAATGAATTAAATTATTTTTAAAAATTTTTATTAGAAAAACTTGGTAATTTTTTTTTTACTTGTGTTTCATCCCCTTACATAATTTTATGAAAACTTGAGAAATTGAAGGTGATAATTTTTAGTGACTATATTAGTTAAAAGCCGAATTCTTTGAAGAATTTAAATCACCGATTTTTTTAAAAATCCGAACCCGTCTTACTAAAAATCTACTCTGAATCGAAAAATAAAAACGCAAAAAAAAATAAAAAATAAAAAAAAAACCCTAAAAAACTAAGCGAATAATTAATTGGGGCAGCTTTTAATTGCTTTTATAAATAATATATATTAAAGACAATATTGTCTGAAGAAAAAAAAAATTTCGATGAAAAATGAATTTTTACAAGATTTATTTTTATTTTTTTTTACAATATTTAATTGAATGATTTATAAAGATTTCAAATCTTTTAAAATTCAGTTTCAATGATGTAACTCTTAGGAAATATTGTTTATTTACTGATTGTACAGTTTATTACAATCTGACGATCCCGAACATTTTTAAAAGAATTTCGATTTGTTTTTGTATGTGTATACATGTACAGAATTTCTAAGTATGACTGGTCAAAGCTAACATTATTATTGTTAAAATGTCACTTGATTGTTTGCTCCACAGTTAACTATGAGCACGTTCAGCGGTCATTTGGCTGTCAATGAATCGATTAACACCTCAGAAAAAGAAGGCCCCGTGGTAAAAAAAATACTTATATACAATATGCTATATATATATACAACAATATGCTATGAGTAAGACATATTTGTTCCAAATCAGATTAATTTAACTTTAAATTTGCTAATTATCCTCAAATAAAGTTCCAGATATATATATTTTATTTTTGCAAGACTTTTAAAACCGAGAATTAACTTTTGTTTACAAATGTGTCAAAATGGTCGATTACATCGATTTTACTGAAAAAATCGATTTCTGTTTGAAATACATAACAGAATATTTTGCTTACTGGAAATAATACATTTTAAATCCTTTAGCTTTCAATTAAAGATAAAATGAAAGCTTTTACATTTTTAAAAACTAATTTTAAACCTTACGTATACCGAATTAGTAGAAGTAGCTATAAAAAAAAACAGACCGTTGATATTGATTTACATTTGAGTTAAAAATCATTTCTGTGTTTTTGTCGGGGACGATATATTCTCAACGTTGCAACCTCTTTCCCATAGACGCAACTCTATCGCTATTTCCATGGCATATGTTCAGTGATTGATTTACTGGTTATTTAAAGCCAGAAAATATTTCTAGATTGTGAAAATGTTTGGGAGATAATAATGATTTTACTGATACAGGTGCTACTAATTAATTAACCCGTTAATTAATTAACCCATTGCTAGGAGAGAAGAACTGAGATCGTTATATTCACTTGCGCGTAAGGAAATATGGCGAATTTGCATCCATGTTTATAGCACCTGATATTTCGATGAGGTCACCCTTCTAGGTACTGACGAGTTTCGATGTTGCTTAACTTCGGTGAACGTACGGGAACCGGAGTTTCGACGTGATATGACCGCAAGCCACATATGTTCATTGTTTAGTAAAGTCACTAAAACACAAGGGATTACAAAGTGTTGAAAAATTAGGAACAGAAATATTAATAAAGAAAGAGAAAAGAGCAATCAGGAGGACAGTAGATTGACTTTAAATTTTTGCAGATTAAAGTTGGCTGGAAAGCATGGAACCGGAAGGGAGTTTCACAATCGGGAAGTGCAAAAAAAGAAACTGTCAGCATAGAAACGGCTTCATCTAGCCAGCTCAACTGTAACTTGATGAGATCTCGACGCCAGTCTAGTACTGCGCTTAGATTAAAAAAGCTCTAGGTACCCTAGCGAAGATTTCATCCGACCAATTACCATGAAAGTATTAATAGAAAAGACACAGGCAGAGAACTTTAGGGCGCTGGAAAAATGACTAAAGTCGAGCTGTCAGATCAAGACCAATAATATTGCTGATTCTTCTTTGGATCTTATCAAGGAGCTCAAGGTAAATAGAAGGGGCACCGGACCATATATAGTAGCAATATTCTAAGCATGGACGAATAGTAGACTTATAGATATGTAAGACAGATTCTAAAGAGAAGAATTGTCTCGTACGACACAGGGAACCAACTTTCTTAGCATCTGACCTAGCAATGGATTCAATATAGTTTTTTTTTTCCGATTTATTTCAGCTGAGAACAGGAACCCCGGGAAGGCGCAACCAATCATTTTTCTGAAGGTTAGCATCAACCATGCTGATAGAAGTTAGTGAGGTGGTCTTGCAGACGATTAATGGAGAGAAGTTTCGTTTTGGCATCCACGGGGTCGAATCACCCTCATTTCCCCTGTATTTCAGTTGTAAGTAGGAAGTTCCACTCAACTTTACAATTTTGTGGAACAAAATCCCGTGTGAGTGCTTCCCTGAGCACCACAATCTTAACCATTGCAAGTCAAGGGCCAATCGTTATCCTTATCTCCAGAACCTTCACTGTCTACCACCTCCTCTTTACATTTATATCACATGCCTTATTCAGTAACTCTTTGAGTGAGTCTCGATCATTGCATTGCGTGAACTTTCGTATATAAAAAAAAGATTTTCAATATATTCTCTACCACTTTGGACTTGTGGCAAACTATGTTTCTTTTCTTTAATATTTGTGAATTGTCATGACTTCTTGGAAAAAGACAGTACAGTGGTTTACAATTCCTACTGGGGGGGATACTCCGAGAATGAATGCCACCCAAGACCCATCTGCTCTAATATTTATCTCATAGATGATGGGTGGCGGAGAGAGAGTAGTTCCTTGTTTTTCCCAATGGCATTTGTTCGGAAGTGAACTCACCAGACGAGACCGGAATTTGAACTCAGCCCACCTGTTCCACTTTACGTATTAAATTCCATCTGTTGTCATTATTTACTTATTTTGAAAGATGAATTTCCTCTTCTTGAACTAGACGGCCTTATTTTATGGAAAACATCAATTCTATTTACAGAAGTCAGAATTGAAGCAGAAATTTCCTTGGACTGTAACACTTACTTGACTGTAAGCTATACACTTGTTTTATAGGATGTCAAAGGTGAGAATAAGAGAGTAAGCGAAAACGCATGAAGTTTAATAAAGAATCCGTGGAAAGACTTTGAAATCAGGTATGGCTGACCATGTATATCGAGAGAACAGGGCATATCAACCCTTATAGATTGAATGCAAAATATTTGACTTAAGTGATTGAATAAATCAGTACACGCGGTTTACTCAAATCAAGCAATCAATAACCTGAGGGCAAATGTGAACACTATGCTCTTCGATAGTTTTTATCCCTACGTTAGATATAAATGATCTCCCTTCGTTTTTATTAACCCCGTGCTAATTAAACACGCTGCTCTATTGTAATTTTGCATAACCAGATAAGAAATCTCAATTTCAGAATATTTTTCGCTAATATTAATACAAGATTCCTATAGATTCCTTGATACACCCAAGATTATGCTTCCCCCATCACTACAATATTTACCTGTTCAAGTGAAGGCTTAACCGCTATCTTCCCCACATATCCTCATAAACTGTGCTTCTTATATCTGTAGCCTTCTACCTCGAGTGGTTCTTGGGCCTTGAATAGAGTGAACATGACTAAAAAATATTAAAAGCCATGTTCAACAGAACTCGAGGCATACAAATGTTTTTGGCGAGGATGGATATCTACATTTCGTTAAAAGGTTACACTGGAGAGAAGCGCGCTTAAGCCCACCCTAGCTATTTGACTCAAGGGACCTAGCTTCGATGTGTATTTAAGTCAAAACGGCGACGACAGGAAGGGCATAGAGATAGTGAAGCGATAACTCCTTAAGGAATACGACAGAGGAAGGAGAAACCGAGAAGCCCTCAGTTAACTCCGAAATGGGGAGAGACACATAGACGAATCTGTGCAAACTTATGCGCATAAATTGTTGGAACTGTTTATACCCCCCGCCCACAATCGCTGCCAAAATACTAAACATGATCGCGAAGTATATTTCTCCCAAAACATAGTCCAGTGATCCTGATTTATATATAGAGATTCTTGATAAAATCCAAAGGAGAATCATTACTATTATTAGTCCTGATCTGGCATCTCGGCTTCAGTCACTATCATCAAAAAACCTCTTCGCATCAAAATCCGTAAGTTCTATGCTAACAGTTTCTTCTCCCGCATTTATTGCTTGTGGAACTCTCTTCCGGCATCTTCCTTCCCAGTCAACTTTGATCTTCAAAAACTAAAACCAGCATCAATCGGTATCTTCTCAATTCCTGTTTTTTTATTATTATTTATCTCCATTCTTAATAATGTTTTCTTTTTCTTATATAGTTTCACACTCAGCAACCCCCTTGCTTGGGATGAAATGCTTAAAAAAGACTCATTAACAAAATCTCAAAATGGGTATGAGCTAACAGATTTCAATATGCATTATGTTCAGCAACGAATAAACCAAATCCTGATTGTTAATTAGATTATGAAACTAATTTCACTTACATTTGTGCGGCCTGTTCACAAAATGTGTCTAATAAGCAAATAAATGTACAAATAGCATGTGCATATATGATTGTTAATAATCGTGCGAAATTCGTGTTGTTATTGTGATGCCATTCACTTTGCACAACATCGACAATTATTTCTTCCCTCCAACTAAAAAGTTCCCAAACTACTGACTTAGGATCAGGGTTACTTGTAAACCATAAATGACTTATAATATGCTTTCCAAATTATATCCGAATCTGCATTGTTAAGAGTCCTAACCTGGCATCTTACCTTCAATGGTTAAGGATAATAATGTAAATAGAGCATTAACAACATATAACGACCTGAACAGGAATCGAACCTGTATCCTACACGGAACCGTCATATAGCCTGACGTGCTATAGCAGTTTAGATACAGGGATGGAGTACACAGAGTCTTTAGTAATGTTCTCCTCTATGGAGGGGAGTCTTACTCGGGAGAGGTATCTGCAAAGTGTCGTTCAGCTTTTGAAGGTTGTCCTGATGTTATATGGACAGCAGATTCTTTGTATTTTCTCCGATAACCCCTTCACATGAAGCAGGCAGACTGTTTTCTGAGTGTTGTTGTCCTCCTCTTGTATCCGCCTATCCCTCCAGAAGAAGGCTGGAGCGTACAACAGCCGAAACATTGTGATAAATATGGCAACAAAGATGAGGATGATAGTCCGAGCAATGTAAATAGTATCCCAAAGTATATTGCTAGAATGACATAATTGCTAAAAGCGCTAATCAAATTCATCTGGGAATTGTAAGTTCAAGGCTTTGGTTAATAAATACAAAAATATTCACCGGCTCAATAGAGCGGCGGATCGATATGTCGAACTGACACCAGACGTGACCGCTAGGGGAATGAGACAAATTTATATACGCTGTACAAATAAAGGATTCAGCTCGACATTACCAGAAAGTTATCAAAAGTGACTAAAGCCTGAATAACGCCGTAGCTTCGTACAACTGCAAAACGGCGAGAAAGACAACAATGACAAAGATTTGGTGTAAAAGAATCACATCTCTGAAAATACAGACAGAAAGAACGCCGGATGCTCTTGCAACCTGACGTCTGTGAGAAAGACAACAAAGACAGAGAACTGTTTTTAAAAAATCAACACACACACACACACACACACACACATATATATATATATATAGTTAAACCTAGAGATCCAGACAAACCTACCAAGGTTTCACCTAAACGGATCGTCAGGGAAGGCTGGCTCTTTGGTAGGCCTGTCTGGCTCTCTTATTGTTTAACTAGGTCTGCTCTACTCATTGTATTGAGCACTTTATTTAGTTGTTTTGGATACTCGCATCGGGTTTTTTTTCTTTGGGCCTTGGACTTGTATGCTGGACGATTATTTTCAGCTAACGTACATGTTCTTGGTTCTTTCTTTTTTTATACCTTTTTTTCCCTTTGGTGTTGGCTTGTTATTTTGCAAATCAAGACACCGAAGTTTTTCCGAACGAGTATAGTTTCTTATATTTATAAGATTTCTATTAAAAATAATAATAATAATAATATATATTTAAAAACAGAGCAAATATTAGTCAAATTAAGAAACAAACAAATTTAAGGGTTCATAGGATTATAGTTTATTTACCCAGGAACGGGATTTTCGTCCTGGTTCATCGGATCCCATTTACAAACAGAAAAAATGGTTTAAAATACTTACATATTATTCTTATACACATGTTTTTTAGGCGGCAGCTTTAAGTTGACATAAGGTGATATTTTATGTCATTTTCATTATTATCTGTGAATTGCCATGGTTTTTCGGGAGAGAGTGGTGACATTTCTTAATGTCTTTTCTCCTGTTTTGAATTTACAGCAGTGCTTCTTTTAAATTGGCTTTTAATCAAGAATAGAAGGACCTGTCTACACATATTTAACCCATAGCTAGTTGGAGAAGAAATAGATGTATGTTTTTGCATTATTGCAAATTAATCGCAAAATGTAGGGCTGAAAATGAATCTCGCTGTTTTCACTTTGAGCGTTGATAACTACTTCACTACAGCACATCCCAATATATATATTATGAAATATCACTTTCATTAAAACGTTTAAATAATGATAAAAACGATCAGATACTGCCCGTAGATATTGTAGGCTTGCTACATGATATAACAAGTACTGTTTGAAGGTGGTGAGAGTGGTAATTTTTTCTGAATTTCTTTTTGAAATTTCAGTTGAAATACAGTACCCCCCCCAAAAAAAACGCAATATATAGTCTAATCAACATAGCTCCCAAACAATATCTGGCTTACAGCCATATCACTTTGAAACACCTGTTCGCGTACTATCACAAAAGTTAAGAAATATCGAGCCTGGACAGTACCTAGATGGGTCACCGCTTGGGAATACCATATGTTGTAAGCTTGGGTGTGCGGATGGTGTAATGGATCACGGCTCGATGTTGGAAATCGAAGAGTCGAGTTCCAATTCCAGTCGGGTTCGTTATATTCACATACGCAAATACACTTGGGAAAAGTTATGAAACCAGCTCTTCTTCCCCACAGCTATGGATAAAATAGTAGAACTTGTATCTGTAAAAATTCTTACAATCTAAAAATATTTTCTGGTTTTAAATAACTTAGAAAAGGTTGATAAGCCGTAAAATCAATTCAATCAATATTCCTAAAACAATATCAGATTTAAAGTTTGTTTAAAATATCAGACGTTACAGGATGAAAACACGCTCAAATAATTTAGCATCTTCCTTTTAAGCCATGTATTGTATATCTATATGTTCTTTTAAAGATAAAGAAATAGTCAACAGGATAAAAAAGATTTGTTTAAATTTTGGCCGAATTGAAAAAAAAAAACGGAATTGCGGAACACAGTGATAGAAAAAGAAAACATTTTGATCGAATTAAAACAAAATTGGACTCTGCTAATAATTTGTCACCTATTAAAAGTGGAAAATGTCAGTATTTTGACCTTTTTTTTCTTTCTTTCTATCTCTGTTCTTTGGATTTCTTCTGATGGAATGAGGAAACGCCGTATTTTTGGTCCTGTGTCTTCTATGACTTCCATTAAATTCATTTAGAGACTTAATCGGGATGAAACTAACAGAGAGAAAACCGTTTGGTTTTTGTCGTAATAAAAAACAATTGCTTTTTTGCGATTGGCTTATTGGCTTGCGCATGCGCACACAGAAGAAAGCAGAAAAAATCACATAATCGCTAACGAACGGTGTGTTTGACATTTCAATGGATTGATTGCTGAAGAATAAGGAAACGTATATGATAGCTATTTTTCAGATGGAAAACTACAATGAATTTCAAAATATGCTTCGCAAAATGATTGGTGATTTTGCGTATAAAAATATGCTATTAAATTCGGAATCTGTGAATGTAGTACCGGCTTTTCTCCCTCAGCCTTTGTGTCTTTTCTTAGGTCTTAGTTTCGAAAGAAAATTGTGGAAATTTGGTGCTCGGTTAATTTTTCTTCTGTTAATTTCCACAAAATTTTGGGGTACAGCTCGCATAAATATTATGCTAATAAATTACGAAATAGATCAGTGATTTCTCGTTTTTGACTGGCCAGATTTTTCTATTACGCATCTTTAATGTTCTCATACAAACACACGCAAGCTAAACGGGGTCGGAAGAAATAAGTTGAAAACTGTATTCATCTTTCATTTGTCAAGGTCTGGAAAAGGGACTTCGGTTAAATGATAAAGGTGATAGAGGAGGGGGAATAATCTGTGTATATATGGTAAGAAATTAGTTTTTTTTTATGTTAGTTTGAAACAAGAGAAGAATTGGGAGGAAGAGAAAGTATGGACATTTACGTAGAAGTAATGGAGGAGAAGGAGGAAGGAACGATCGAGGAAATGTAAGAGAAAAAAAGGAAAGGGACGATGAGGAAAAGCGGGAGTATTAGAAAGAAAAAGAAAGGGGGAGAGTAGAAAGAAAAAGAAAGCGGGAGTATTAGAAAGAAAAAGAAAGGGGGAGAGTAGAAAGAAAAAGAAAGAAAAGAAAGAAAGACGATAGAGAAAATAATCAAAGCAGAGACAAAATGAGGTTTCCTTGTTTAAGTTGGTGAATGCTGCAATAATCTTTACTTTCAGTTCATCTTTGGTCTTGCAAGGGGGGGGGGTGTTGGTCTCTCGCTCAAATGCGCACACTACCTCCTCCAGACACTTGATGTAGACCTCCGTGTTGAGTCTAAGGCCCTGTGGGAAGATGAATCCAGGCATAACGTCGCCATCACTAGTGATCACTCCAAACAACTTCGTAATCACCATTAGACTCATCTAACTCTTTCCTTTCTAAATGTTCTGCACTGTTTTCAGATTGACACTCAAACTCTGAAATGTTCGTATTGGAGGTTCCGGCGCAAATGCCAAGCAGTACAGCATGCCGTTTCCAGATTTCTGTCGTAGTGAACTGTCACACGGTGTTTTTTTTTCTCCCAGGTGGTGCCAACTGACCTTACTATACTGTGCAGTTGACAAAATAAAAAAACAAACAAGGCACAAAATCAAAAATATAAAATGACGAAAATTTAACTATCACACCCTGTGTGTGTGTGTATATATATATATATATATATATATATATATATATATATATATATATATTATATATTTTCATTGTTGGAAGTGTTACCTGATGATCCGAAATCCTTTAAAAAGGATTTTGGTGAAATAAATTATTGTAATGGTACCTTAAAGTGGTCTGTTTTTCATTATATATATATATATATATATATATATATATATATATATATATATAGAGAGAGAGAGAGAGAGAGAGAGAGAAAGAGAGCGAGATGAACATGTCAAGATAGAGAAACTGACTGACAATGAACAGACAAAAATAGAGAGATGTAAACTTTCTTCGAATTATTATATATATATATATATATATATATATATATATATATATATATATATATATATATATATATATATAAATTAAAAACATTTCGAAATTTTCTGAACAATATGATCACCGTTTTGCTACACTGCCTTCTGCTATCTTTTAGTCAATTTCATAATTCCTCCTTTCTTGGAAAACGACTATCGTAAATGCAATTTGTAGTTTTTCAGGGAAGGACATGTTTCATTAATAATAGTCAACCCGAATATTTGAAAAGAGGATACGGGAAAATTTCTCAGCAAAGCCGTAAAAAAATATCTGAACAACAGATTAAGCATGATCTTGATGCGTTTATATAATGTTTTTTATCTTAAATAATTCCAGACACATTTTATTAATTACTACTATAGGTTGATCAATTTCTGAGCAGTACTCGTTCGAATTTATCGTTTCATTCTTCGGAAGGAGCACATAGTACATTTGTTATCTGGTAGGGTGTTCTAATAAAAGTAACTGTAATATTAGAACAACCTGCTGCGCTCTTTTGTAAATGCCGGTGGCTCATCATAAAACATTACAAATACTAAATGAAATATCCGAAACGTAAAGCTTTTCGTGACCTCAGAGCACCATCAGTTTGGAATGCGTATTTGAAAAAAAAGATCTCGTGAATAATCAGATCAGAATTTGTGAATAAGGAGGTAGATTGGTGATGCACATGTGTTTGCTGATGTAGACATCACCAGTTTCATGTATCTAGGTTTACAAGAGTGTATATATATATATATATATATATATGAAGAAATATAGTTTTAAGGTGTGCTATATTTATGGGAATAAAGTGCTCAATATCAGAGATAGAGCATATATAAATTTAAATATAAAAGTGAACACTGAAGTCAACACTGTTTCATGCTTGGCGCCATCGTCAGGCTGCTTATATATATATATATATATATATATAAAAGATTTAACAAACAGCAGCTATTATTATATATAGTGCTCAATATTAAAATAATATGAAAAATAGAGTGTTAATGATATTATAAAAAAAAGATTACTTAACTTTTTAAATATCAATTTTATCCCGACATCGATGTTTCTTACTAAAATTTCTAGTCTTCAGGGGTTGTGGTTTTAAACTGTATTTCCAATTTTTTCAGTTTGTCCCACGTCTTTTTCAATCCAATCTTTTACTCCATAAAAGATGTCGGGATAAAATTGATATTTAAAAGATAAGTAATCTTTATATATATATATATATATATATATATATATATATATATATATATATATATATATAATATATAAAATGTAAAAAGACAATAGGAAAAAGTGTAATCGGTGCTGACACGTTTCGTCCGATGCGGACTTTTTCAAGGCGAAACGAAATGAATTTATTAAACAAAGTAACTAATAATAACAAAAAACAAAATGTCCTTAGCAACAGGAAGAACTTAGAGAACGCTATTTTCATACTGTTAACTGAAATTACGTCAATTACTGTCACGTGTGGAGATATTGATTTTATTGCTGTGTTGACGGATTCAACCATTTTCTTTTTATTTCTTGATACTGTTCTGTACGTTTGTTTGGGAGAATAGTAATTCTGTTAAGAAAGGTGAAATAGGGAAAAAACCTGGGCGTAGATTAATATTTGAGTAATATTCAATGGCGGCACTCTCGAGGATTTTAAAATGCTACTCATAAAAAGAAGAAAATAACTTACTCACAAGGAAAATCCTCGAGAGTGCCGCCATTGAATATTACCCAAATAATAGGTTCACTCTGAGAAAATTTTCATATATATATATATATATATATATATATATATATATATATATATATATATATAAAAGTGAACATTGAAGTCAACACTCAGAGGCTACAGACTGTTTCGTGCTTGACGCAATTGTCAGGCCTGACGATTGCATCCAGCACGAAACAGCCTGTTGCCTCTGAGTGTTGTCTTCAATGTTCACTTTTATATTTACATACTCTATCACTGATATTGAGGACTTTATCCCATAAATATAGTACACCTTAATATATATATATATATATATATATATATATATATATATATATATCAGATTATTTTATCACTACATACAAGATGCAGAAATAATTGTAACCAATGATGTCATAAATTCCCTAACGAAAAACGGCCACAGTTTATCTACGTTATAGACTCTGAGCTTCTCCAGACATGGGCATCTGCATCTGTCAGATGGTTTTTATTTGTCCATCCGTTTTACTGCATTAAAAAAAACGAACGTGGTCGTTACGTATTCAGAGAGTGATTGCAAAACAAAAGTGAATGTCCGTTATTTTTTGAATTCTCACGCACCCCAATTTTAAAAGGGGATACGCATCCGCCAACAGGGATCGAACACGGGTTTGTGGTTTATATTGTGGCGGGAATGCTTGTCATGTTTATATAGAAAACACGTGTCTCCTGATATTATTTTCTCGTGACAATTATATCGGACTCGAATATGAGTCCAAGTAGGAAATGTTTAACACAAAACAATAGAAAACAATTGTA